CCCCCCCCCCCCCCTTGAGGCAGGTGTGGACAAGCTGTGGCTTGGTCCCATCTCACCCTGGCTGGGTAGCACCCACCTGAGCCTCAGCCCCACTTCCTCCTCCCCACATGGGGCAGGGGGCAAAGGCATCTGCCTCCCATGCCCCTTCCCTCTCACCACAGACTTACCAGATGCATGCAGCTGTATAAGAAGTCAGATTTGTATTGGCTAATATGCCTCCTTAAAAAAGTCAGCTATTGGTATCAGCCCCCAAATCTTTATTGGTGCACCCCTATTAACTATCTAAAAGAGCTTACAAAAGCTTACAAAATCCATCAACTCTGTGTTCTGCATTTCCACTTCACTAGAAAGCTTAATTTGGCAGAGTTGACTCTCAAATAGTCTAAAAAAAAAGAGTCAGCAATTTCAGAAGAACGTATGTTATTATAACTACAAAAGCCCATGATAACACTAGTACCTTAAGGTAGTAATTTATTTTCATATTCTTAATTTAAATTGCTTGCTTCTTCATATTTAACTTTATGCCTACTGCTTTTAATTTACATGATGATAGCTACTCAGAGCCAGACTCAAGCCCCCCACTACAAACTGCTACAATACCATCCCCATGACAAGGGTAACAAAACCCCATGTAATAGGAGACAGGGGCAAGGCCAAGCCTGTTCTGGCTTACAGGCAGCCCCCCCCCCCCAATCTCACTTGATGTCTCTCCAGCAACAGAATATTTAACTCCTATTTTCACTAATCCACCAGGGTCTTGCTACACACCCAGATGTCCATTGTGCTGCCTAATTATCACTGAACCAAACAACACAAACTGCACTATGCAGGGTTCATTCAGATACTCCTTCACCCATGCCAAGCCTACAGTATGCTTCACCAGCGTCATGCCTAAATTTCCTGCCTACAGTAAGTACAGCACCCTTCTGTCATCTACACTGGCCAGATGAAGCAATCCCTACATAAAAGAATGAGTGTACATAGGTCTGACATCCGTTCCAGTAACCCAGAAAGGCACGTGGCAGAACACTCGCTTTCCTGGACATTCCATCACTGACCTCTAAACAGCTGTCCTTACATTAAAAAAAGCTGGAATGTAGAATTGCAGACTAAGTCATCCACAGGCTGGATTTTTTTTTTTTTTTATGAGTTATCAACAAGAGGCTATGCTTTATCCCAGTGGTACTCAACCTTTTTGGCCAGTGGGCTAGACAGGCAGGTGGTCCGCAAGCCAGATCCAGTCAGTGGTCCTGATCTGGTGCCCAGGGTGGTCACTGTGGGATGAGTGGCTCCCTCCAGCCACTTACCTGAACAGATCTAAGCAACCCTCGGATTGCCTTTCAGCAGCATCTCCACCCCCTGTCCCTTTCGGATAAAGTTTTTTCCTTTCTGCTAATCCATTTGCAGCACCTGAAGGGGACTGGTGCCAACTGTGGAGAGCCCAGGTGCCATGTCACTGCTGCCAGGCTGTAGTGATTCAACAGAAAGGCAGTCATTGGCAGGCTTGACTGAGAGCTCTGAAGTCTTCAGGACAGGCTGGACTTGGTGCTTAAGCTCTGAATCACAGCTCAGGAACCCCAAGAGGGTCTGACAAGCTCATGACTATGTTCACCCCTGCCTAGTCCACAAATTAGTGGCCCAGCAAGTGAGGAAGGGGCACAAGGTACCAGCTTTTCAAAGGCAATGCTGCCCTTCCTCAGTTTAAGCCCTTGCTGGAAAGGGGCAGCTCTGCTAGCCACGCCTTCTCCGACTCCAACTCAGCCTCCCAGGCAGCCCCGGCCCCTTGCTGCTCAGTGAGGGGGCCTGGGTGAACCTAGTCACGAGCCTGTCAGACCCTCCTGGGGCTCCTGAGCTGTGATTCAGAGCTTAGGCACCAAGTCCAGCCTGTCCTGAAGACTTCAGAGCTCCCAGTCAAGCTGCCAGCAACTGCCTTTCTGCTGAATCACCACAGTCCAGCAGCAGTGAGGTGGGGCCTGGTGGAACAGCTGGCAACAGTCTCCTGCTTCACGTGCTGCAAATGGACTAGCAGAAAGGAAAGATGTTATCCGGAATGGAAAAGGACAGGGGAAGGAGATGCTGCTTAAAGGCAATCAGAAACGCTGAGCCAGCGCGGCCCTCTCACCGGCCCCGGAGCCGCCCTTCCCCCTCCACCGCGGCGCCGCCCGAGGCCGCAGCCAGGGCCAAGCGCATGCGTAGAGCAGCGCGAGGGGCAGTGCCCAGTGGGGCACCGGTCAGACGAGCCGAACCGAGTCGGGCCCGGAGGCCGGACGCGCTCTGCGCCCCCCCCCCCCCCCCTTGCGTGAAGCATCACGGGAAAAGTCCC